TTAAGTGAAGGTTGAAGATTAAGTAAGTGACTTTTACATAATTTTTTAGAAAAGGAGAGGTAATAGCAATAGTTCAAAACTTAAAACATGTTCCAGTAGATGATTTAGGTATAGATACAATTTTAATGTCCTTTCAAACGGCTGGCACGACGTTCCTGGAAAAAGACTCATTAAATATGTCCATGCGAGTGTCTATACAGTGTACTTGCTACCGTAAGTGCAAGCAAATCTATGAAGGTAGTTGTAGTGATTACATTTCAGATGCCTCAATTTTATAACATTTTTCGTAATACCATTCAAGCATGTTATTTTCACTTTTTATGACCATTTCAATTGCAGATGGTATGCAGCTGATGAGAACCTGTGGAATAGAATGATATCATTTTATCACTGGGAATTCGGTCTTTCTTTCGGTTTACCAAACTTCACCATAGGGACCAAGTGTATCAAATTTTGTACTTATTTCACATGACTAATAAATTACAAGTTTAAGATGTGAAAAATATATTCTAATTGGATAGTGTCTACCAGTATGCTTACAATGACATTTTAAAGGTTGAGAGATATTAAAGGTTTGAAGTGATATCTCGTTCAACAACTTCTAATTAATTTATTCTCGCGTACCAAAGACAAAGCAAAAGCCAATAATTGGTCGTCCAAACGAAGAAATGTATTTAGGAACCAAAACCAGCCGATAGACGAACGCTTAGCTAGCTAGTGATCGTGCACGTTACACGACGGGGTACCAAATGGCGGGGATGCTTGACTGGAAGCCTTCAGCTAAACAAGTCGACTTAAACAGTGGTGGTCAGCATCCAATGCGTGATTGCTGTGGTCAATAATTTTGGGGAATTATTTACCGCTACAACATGACCTTCAATCTACCTTAAGGTCAAATGTCTGGTTTACCGATCACATGGGAAACACTGACTCATACTGTTGTTTCCACCCTGTAACATAACCTTAACAGTAAAATAAATAAACTGGTACACACGTTGCTGGCGGAAGATGTCCAACGTTATTTATCATACGCATATGATAGTGATGAGTCATACAATTAATTCTAACACTTCGTTTAAATCTGTACATTGAAATCATGTTTAGGCAGCAATATGCCTGAAGTTGTTCAATTCATAATTATAAAATGACCTAGGCTTATTTTTTAAATTAGTAAATTGCAAATTAGTCTTATGATCTATGTTGATTTCAAGTGATTTCACTTTTTCTACTCTCTCTCTCACTCCTGCCTTTTACACAAATGTGTAGGTAAATTCAAGACCATAGTGATGGAAGAGATCGTACAAATTGTTTTTGTAACCAAAGTTCTGGCTTTCTGCTGTTATGTATTGTCAAAGCTTCTGTTATAAGAAAGCAAATGCGCTCGTGTCCTTCTCGGCACACTTTTTTGAACTTCGTAGACTATATTGAACGATGTGTCAGATACTGTGTGGTCAGTATCCACAATATGCTGCAATATTGATGAATTAGTACCTTTATGTTCTCCTTTACTCAGCCAAACTGGAAGGTGTTCAGCTCGAACGCGGCGGGATATATATTTCTCGACGAATATCCTATATACCAATGTGTATGTGTAATAAGAATATAAAAATTGTGTTACTCCAGTTAATGTACTTCATGTGTTAGATAGGTTGTCTTTTTATTGTTTTGTTTTTTTATCATATTTCATAAAGGGGACTAAATGGCTTTAAATAGAAATAATAAATAAAATGAACAAAATATTTCGATAGCTATTTCTTCTGCTTCAGTCTCCATAAGTATACGTTCAATAAAGTCGGCATAAAAAACCAGAGAATGCAAAGAAAAATTATGTACTATAATGTAATAGATAAAATCGACTGCAGTGGTAGTACTTGATGTTGTCGAGGGCAGCTGGTTTCGGTCTTCGTTTGAATTATGGAATTTGGGTTACTTTCAGCTGTTAGATTCTGTCACAAACTAACATCATTTAAAAGGAGACCATTGAAACCTAGGGAATACTGGACAACCATTTCGTCCTAGACTGAGACTCTTCAGCGCAACCACGACCCCATTAAGGGTCGAACCCTGAACTTTCAGATTAACAGACTAAACTCGTTGACCATTCACGATTTGACAAATTTAGAACTCACAGGTCATTGAGTTCCAAGCTACTAGGTTGAATGGTTAACGATTTTGGTCTCTTGACGTGGTAGTCCTGGGTTGCACCCTGGTGGGATCGTGAGTATGCAAAGTTGAAGAGTCTCAATCTGGGGTAAAATGACTGTCCAATCCTTCCTAGTTTTCAATTATTTCTGTAACTGATGTTGATTCGTGACGATGGTTTACGAGCTCGCCTTGTAACCAGAAGGTCCTGGGTTCAGTACTCCCTGACGGTTTTCCAATGGTTCCCTAACTGATGTCAGCTCATGATGAAATCCTGTAACGAACTAAAATTTTCATTTAAATGTCTTAAAATACACACCCAATTGAAAAATGATGTAAATTTATTTGAGTGTCGTGTGTGAGCGTCGATGGCTCTCTTGCCGACCATACACATGGTCCGAGGTTCTATCCCCTGCCGACGCACAACTGATATCAATGGTCGGCCTGCAGAATTCGGGCTACCGATATCACATGCTGAAAATTCCACACTTTTACCAGAAATACGGAGTAGAATCAAGCTGTAATTAAAAAAAAATAATAACAAAGCCTCAGGTTTTGCATGTTAAGTTATGACCACTGCAATGTGACATGTGAATACTACAGATAAACGGCACACTGTGGTTGTAAGTTCAAGCGAAGACTAGCTACAATGATAATGGTGTAGTGTAAACACACGGGTGAGTAGTATTAGTGAGTGAGAGTGAGAAAGACAGAGACAGACAGAGGGAGGGAAGTGAAGGAGAGGTCTTTATTACTGACAGGTTATTTGTGTGAAAATCACCCACTTTATTCAACTAAATGTGTGCTTTCAAATCTGAAGAAGACATGTTAGCTAAACGATTGGTATATTGTGATAAGTATGTTGTATTTTTGTTATAGCTTGATTCCACACAGTATTTTTAATACATCCATGGAATTTTCAGCATGTGATATCGGTAGTCCAAATTCTGCAGGCCGATCATTGATATCAGGTGTGCGTCGGCAGTGGATCGAACCCTGGACCATGTGCATGATCGACGAGAGTCCTAACCGCTGTGCCACCGAAGCATGAGTTTTAGAAAAAGAAACTTTCCTATACTAATGGAGGACCATCATTCGTTAGCAGAATGGAGAGAAATGCAGAATGAAACCTCTATCTTGTTTCAAAGCTGTTATGTATCCGGATATATATTAAATTGTACTAGACATATACTAGTTAATGGTTGTTATGGCAACCATGACCATCTCACAGTAAGACGTGGAATCTTGAACAAAAGCGATGTACTAGAACGTAGGAAAAGTCTGTCCATGTACACACTGCTTGATTGTTGGCTTACTTGCAGGCATAAATATTGTAGACATTTGAATGAGTAAATTAGTAGTAATTTTCATATAGTAATTTCACTTTTTTCTAAAAATAATCTACTATGTTGACTATTTATGATGTAAGCTGTAGACATTGAGCACTTCGAAGACAAATTTAGATGTTGAAAACATTTAAATATGTTTCTGGCGACATCAGTTTCATCCATCTGAGCTTCAAATCTTTTGCATCATTATAATCACTGAGAATAAATAGTGCTCTAGATCTTGTAAACAGAGAAATACAAGCTGCACTTGTCAGTTGCGACCCTTATGTCTACCCTGGGTATGAATGATTGTTTTAGAAGCTCTTCATCAAGTTACCGACATCAAACTATCAGTCGTATACATGCCAACATATCTGTCCCTCATCACATACCTAATCAGATATTACACGGGGGTTCACTTGGATGCTAACAACCTGCCAAATCCCTAATAATTAAAATAAATTCTTGAATAGCTTGAGAAGATTTACAATTTCCGTGCCTTTACTTGAAAGTCCAATCCAAACCACAGGAATATGAATTTCATGTAAGTGATTAGAGATAGGCTGGTGATAATCAGCTTCGGTATTCTTCATCGCTTTTATTTCGGTATCTAGGCAACAAACGTATCGTTATTTCACAATATTTTGGAATTTTTATTAAAACTGAAATTTCATCAGCAGTTTAAGTGACCTGTAATTACTGGTAGAGAAACAGACAATTAAAAGTCTGAACCATAGAAGTGTATTCCAAAGAGTGATTTATTTGACAAACAAAATGTTGAGCATGGCTGTTAGATTGTGAGTGGTAACTAGTAAGAGAAAAATAGTTTCGATAAGTTCAGATGCCAGTTCGTCAAAAACAACCTAAAAACATCCATTCGTCGTTCGGGACTAACCGCTGTCATATTTCTACTGTTTTGTGATCATATTAACTGAATTGTCAGTCAAGTTTACAAGGTGATTACCAACCATCACGGCATACATCGAATAGGTGCTACGTGGTTGGAGGCAATCAACAAGAAGCCTCAGATTTATGTTTCACCTAATACAGGAGATCCGTCGTGAGCCCGAATACCTCGGTGGTAACGTCTCAGCTTGTAGCCCTGAGTGGTGCGTATTCCGATGTGAAATGTGACATAAATTTCTTCAAGGTTATAGATACACCTTATTGACTAAAATTAGGTTTCGAGCCTCCAGCCAAATACCTCAAACCACCTAACACCAATTCTACGGACAAATTCCAGTCGATTATTAGTTATTTCATTATTCGAGTATTTAATTTTAACCAAGTTGCACCTTGGTATCCAGAAGGAAAACCACAGAGTATCTCTTTTTAGACGATTAACTGTAAACTGGCAACATTCGACTCTTCGAATTAACTATCAACATACGATATTCCTTAATAACAATGACTTGTGGCTCCAGAAAACGCACATATATTTAGAAACGAGATATGATATCTAGGAGTAACATTTCTCACAGTGAAGTATAAGCACAAGGCCTCCGTTCACATATCTCTGTTGACCGCTAGACTACAAAGGAAATGTATTTCATACCTCATAACCCTGGTTTATTAGATATGTTAAGTCAATACTTCTATATTCATTCTATCGCTACACCAGCATACACTGTTTTATATGATATGTTTAGTTCAACAGCATTCTCTAACTAACTAGACTTATCCTTACCTCATATAACTGAAGGAGACCATCCCGTTCTGAATCACAAATATGTCATTTGTGCGGAACATCCCTACTTGTATATACACTATATGACAACAGAGATAGGATTAAATATATTACAATATTTCCGTTTTGACGAGGTCAAAAATACACACAGCATCAATTTAAAACAAAGCAGTAAGAGAGAGTTTCAAACCTTAGTCTTTGTTAGTCTGGGAATTTGTCGATCCACAGCTAGCTTAAGCGCGTGTAGGATAACCAATATACAAGCATGCGATTTTGACAATTTTTACATCTGTCCTACGCTTATTAATTGATTCTGTATGTTCGCGTAAACGAATTTCAGTTATTTTTCTAAGAAACCAAAATGAAATAGAAAACGAATAAATATAATTAGCTCTATTCGTTTATTCATACGTGTTTGTTTTGAGGATGATCTGCTAACAAATAAAGAGTAGTAACGAGATGACCAAGAAAACCGTTATGTCCAGGTGATTCTTTTTTTTTAAAATAGTGATTTGGACAACAGAATCGGATTGTCAACCTGAGAAGTGTTTAAATGACTCTCAGAAACGTACAACCTCAAATTCAACATTGATTGATATCGTGCCGATTAAGAACAATGCATTTCCAATCCATTGCGAAATTTATAGTATTCAGCTGCTGATATAGCTGAGTATCAATGGAGACTGCTTGCATTAGTGCAGAGACTTAAACGAACACAAACCTTTGGTGGGTTCCACCGAATTCTCTGTGCAGCAGTAATCTTGAACATCCGTGAAACCATACACACCACTGACTGATCTCTTAACCTATTGTTATGGAATACCTTATCGAGAGATTGTTTCTCTTCAGGATGGCTGTCTTCAGAAACTTGTATGTATCAATTGTATCCTGAGCGAAAATGTATTATGTGACTTACTTGTCAGTTTTGATAGCGAGGCATGTACGGTTACTAGGTATTGTGAACATGAGTCCATGATACCATGTTCACAGAAGTTGACTTCAGCGTAGAAAAACCGTATCTCCACATTATCAGGTAGAAATGGTACAAGTTAAATCGATCATTCATCAGGTTTGATGCGTGTGAGTCTCAGGGTCTGGTCACACGTTGTAATGAAGGTTTAAAAAGCTGTTAATACACAAAATGAATGAGAGGAAATGTCAAAAACTCACAGAATTTGAGCGAAAGTTGACTTCGCGCGCATATTATCTTCCAACACCAAATGTGCTTCTTTGACACAGACCCGAGAACAGTTAGTTAGCTGAATCAGAACAAAAATAGATCATCCAAAATATGGTTTCTGTTTCGGTTTAAGTGCAGTGATGCGTGAATAATTAACTGGAGGTCACGTACAAACACCCGAACATAACCGGGAAGCGCGCCAAATGGCCCATCTGCTCAACACTGTACCATAGGCTTAATCAGTCACCTTGAACACCGAAGGTCATCCAGCATTTGATGATGAACGATCTATAGGCTAGTAATTTCAGTGAACCGTCAACGTCTGTATTAGTTTTTGCAACAATTTTGATGAATGCCCACCTTTGAAGGAGAAATATAATCGAACACATTTATTTCCTGATACGAATTTAAAACAAGCAACAAAGGTTGATAAAGTAGGATTTAATGAATTCATCAAATTTCACTAGAACTAGCCAGCTCAATACTCTACATACACGGAAATATACAATATAATATTAATCATAACAGTTAATAAGTAAAACGTATTACCATGGTAGATTCAGAGTGATGACCATCTCCTTTTATACACAGAAACCTGGTTAATAAACTCCAATTGCACAAGCCTCCGCAATTGCAAGCACCTTCTTTGTCTGCTGACAATAGTGAATGACTTGACAGCGTCTACATCATGTCGACAGTTCACAAGATGTTTTGTTATTGAGGTTTTTGGTACTTTGCATTCAAGTATTTTCAACCACTTTGGCAAATGCTCCATCATGCGAGTGAACAATCGCGTTTCTGTACGACCTATGTATTTACTTCCACAAACACACTCAAATATAACCGACTTACTGTTTCACTTTCAGCAGTGTGCATTAGCTTACCCGACTATTTAAGGAGTAGTAGAACTGAAGATGTCTTTGGAAAGTTCATTTTATGCAAATGATGTTCGAAATTATTAGACTTACCAATTATCATTCACGCTTTCTCTCTCTCTTAATCTACAATGTACTACTGAAAATTGTTCAACATGTGATCCCATAAAAATTGCTATATATGGACGACGATTATTTTCTTGGTAACCTTGATGGTCAATTCAACGAAGAAAATTTTCTTTATCGACGAAATCATCTAAAGAGGCTATACACTAGTATTTATATCTACCAAAAATGTATAGTATTCTATTATTCAGTAATAAGGGGGAGGGGCGACAATCGATATAATTTCTCAGAATTGGCTTTAGAAGTAAAAATAAAATTTGTAAATTATGTAGCACTCAACGGCACAAAGGAAGAAAGCCTTAGAAATTTGATAAGGTTAAAATTGTTATTGAGTGAGAATAAAAGTAATTGAGTGTCAGTTTAACAAGTGTGAAGGGGGTGAGTAAATGTACGAAAGGAACATATGACAGTGATAATAGTGAATCAATTATTGAAGTAAAAAGAAAGTAATTATTATAAATTAAAAATGTACAGGGAACGACTGGTGAAGAGGTTAAGACCATAGTAAAATAAGAGACTAGACAAACTTTTCCTGTATACAGAGTTCGAGTTTGCATTGACGCCTGCGCCCTTATTACCATTTGGCCTCACCTTGTAGATGATCTTAACAGATGACGTTGGTGGAGCTACGTGGCCTGAGTTCACAAAGTGCACGAGAACTGAGCTAGTGAACTCAAGCCACGTAGCTTACTCTATTTAATTACCAGATTTGAATCATGGCATCACCGAAAGATTTCAGTCCCTCAATTTTCACTTAAAAACCAAATTGAGTATGCAGTCACAATATATCTCAGTAAACACATATAGGATTAAGCAGCTTAAATATTTACTATACAGCAAGGAATCCCCATACAACACTTTCCGTCCTACATTTATTCATTGAGCACGAACCGTATAGATAAAGGCGAACAAAGATTTCGCCATAGTAGACAAAACGGAGTAATGTTATGACCCGTGATTGATTTACATTTACAAGTAAATTTTCAAATTTATCACAGAAGAAAATTGTGGCTGTCTAATTACCACTACTGGAAGCAGTATCAGTGATAGTATTAGTTAATCAGGCACATTTGTTTCCCCATGGACACAGTTTTGATAAAGTCTCACAGTGTTATACAGTAATGCTTACTGATGACGTTTCGAGCACAATTTATTGCTCATAATCATATCACGGTACTCACACGACTTCCTAACTCCGTTTATATAGTTCCATTATTTTTCACTTGATTTTCGCTTGATTTTATTGGTAGTAGTATTTTCCATATTTCGGGTATGAGTGATGAATCATTCCTATTGCATGTGTTGGGTGTAGACTCGATGAACAAGGATTCAGTAATCAACCTCTCTCTCCACCTACCTAGATTACTTTTTAGAATTTTAACCCTCTCCCACCCTATTGTGTGCTTGTGTGCTAATGCATGCATTGCAATTGCTGAGCTTTTTTCTAAATTACTTATCTTCTCGGGGTCAACCATTCGTACCTTAGCTAAATTCTTATGTTCTGACAATCTGACTACCCCTGACCTACTAGTTTGACCTATTTAGTTGACCTCACAGTCATTGTATGGTATTTTGTAAAATATACTATTTTGTCTAATTGGGTCAACTGGGTCCTTTAACCTACAGAGCTTGTCCTTGAGTGAGTTTGTAGGTTTAAATGCCATCCTAATTCCTTCTTTATTTGGAATTCTACGTAGGGTCTCAAATGGCCCCTCTTTATACGGTATAACTGTAGATGACTTATATTCTCTCTTATTTATGTTATTATTACTAGTTCCAGAAGCATGTGGACAAAGCATATCCTTCACACATCATCTAAATAAAATCGAATAGACAAATAACAGACGGCATTTCATTGGATCAGCTGAATGAAGCATTACAGAATATAGTAAGGTATCTCAGCATTCGTTTCGTCGCGAACCAACATCAATTAGAGATCCCTTAGAAGCCAAACAGCACTGAACAGGCCTTTTGTCACATTTCAACACCATTCACCAGTTATATTACATGTGTGTTAACTGCATATCGAATTGCGAATCACAGTCTGGATACAATAAATAATTTATTTTGACAAAGTGTGTAATATGATTTAAAAAAAAGATTAATACCTCACTCAAAATAGTAGCATTTACGTGATGCGTTTCTCCGTTCTTATATCTGTGGTTTTGCGTATATACGTGTGTATGTAAGGGTGTTTGGTTTCGCTAACGAAGAAAGCAGTATTCGTCTTACAAAAAATGCTGTGCCCAATAACGTGAATAAACAAACTGAATTTCAATCGTACGACTAGCAAGGCTTAACTCACACTGACGCAGAATTAGTCATGTTGTGAATGAGAGTAATTAATACAATCAAACTTATAAATTGACTGAAATCACCAATTTTTAGAGTGACAACGTACAATCAATCACGTGTTAAACTGCATACTTCTAATTAAGGAAAATTGATATTAAACAAAACACTTACCAAAGTAGTAGTAGCATTAGTAAGACTTATGCTACTGACAAGAAATAAGGACCATTGTGAAACAACACAGAATGAATGAAACGAAGACAAATGACGTAGATGGCGGAGAAACGCATTATCGACAGCAGTGTGAAAAAGCATTCTCCACACAGTCTCTTATTTATCAAAATGTCAAAGACAACGTCCCACAGTCGTTAACAGCCATGTGCATATATCACTTCACTTGCTCCCATAGAGCTAGGTACACAGGCTATACAAGTAGTTTATAGTCCAGGAGTGGACAAGACCATATTCTAGTATAGTTGTCCAGAAAAGAAATTAAAAGAACCAGTAGCTCAGTTCTCCAACATCTGGTTCTCTTACATAGTTCCACATCAGCAGTGAAACCGTAAAAAGTGATATATGAGGTTAGGCCGATTCATTCGAAGCGCTTCATGTCACATTTTCGGTCAATAGAGGGAACTCTCGCCATACTCATGGAAGATTCTCGACAGAAGCTGTTTGTTTGATCCCTTTTCTTACCGATATCTTAAAGCTTGTCTCTTTATTTTTTCTAACTTCTACAATAATTTGGTATGTAACTCCCCTTTATTCAAGTTTTCTTGTTCTTTCATGTCAAATTCCTAACTTGAAATTATACTTAAAACATATTCTAAATCCGTTACTCTTATGAAATAAACTGTTGTTTCCTATGCGCTTACAGGCGACTACGTGAGATTACTTGACCAAGTTTGGTAATTAATTCATCTTACTCTTTCCGGAAATGTAATCCCATATTTTGTAACTAATTAATGTAGACAGTCGATCATCACAGACATTTCTATAACAGTTTACAACAGTACGACTTTGGAATTGTGACTTATGAAGAGAATGTTAAAATATGAATGGACAAATAAGAGTATACTTTACTAACTTGTGGTTATTTAGGCTAAGCAACATGTGCATTTTTCAATCTTTGCTTTAGCTGTGGATTCGCTAACACATGGAAAACTACGTTTTACTTTTCGCCCGCACATTACCAGTTCGACATTTTGTCAAAATGGCATTGAAGTCAATTCAATTTGATTGCTGGGGTGTACACGTAGACTTTCCATTATTCCTTCGAACCTTTTAGCGTACGAAACCTTGAGATTTACTGATAAACACACAAAGTTAGATTAAAATTCACACACGAAATAATAAGAACTAATATTGTCACAAGGAAATCACGTTTCCAAACCTAATGTCAAGTCAGTTAATGCTCCTATATGGCTGGGATGTCACAGAAAATGTTCCCATCAAGTTGCTGCAGAGCGCCATTAACGGTTTCCGTCGCTAACTGGATAGTGAATATCAAATGACCAGAAAGGACTGGTAACAAGGAACTTCGCAAAAGAACCAACCAAGACATGATCATCAAAAATCATGCCAAATAAAATGGAGATGATTGAGACACATACTGAGAAGACCGTTAAGTGACATCGTGGGTCAGACACAGCCTCAAACGGTGCCCGAATGGGAAACGACAAGTTGAGTGTGCGTCCGACGGTGATGCAGAGGAGCAGATGAGAGCTTGTGGGTATTTGTGGAGCCAACCAAAGACGACTACGGAAAACAGGATGCAATGGAGATGTTCTATTGAAGCCCAGAGTTACATTCAGAACCTAAAGAAATAATAATAAATCATTATCAATATTACTATTGATAATGGTCGTCACAACAGATTAACTTAAAAATGCGCAACCACAACAGTAGATCATATATAATCAACCAGTTCACAGTAATGAGGAAAACAAAACGAATATTCTACTATGGAGTGGAGTAATCGTCAACTAGTGCAGAATAATGAATAATGTATCGACAAGAACTTAATAAAAGTGAATATTCCCATTCTAGCTATTTGCTATCTAATAT